GTAAAAAAAACCTCTCCCGGGCGTTCCGAGAGTCTCCCGCTCCCGGCCGCCCAGGAGAGAAACACTGCTTTTTCTTTTTTTTCTTTATTCTGACACGGAACCGTGTCAAAATAGGAAAAAAATACACAGCTTTGTGTCAGAATAAAGAAAAAAAATAGGATTTTTGTACTCACCGTAAAATCCTTTTCTCTCCGTTCATTGAAGGACACAGGCAACAGATCGTAGATCCTGAATGGTAATATCGCCAACTGTGTGCAAACCCCTACATCTGTGTGCATCTACCTAAATATCACCTGTGTTTCGTTTCCCCAAGTGCCAGTGTACACATAATACGCTGAATCTACAAAGCTAACACATCAGGATAAGGATAACAATTAAATAAGTGGCAGTTTCATTGAGCCCAATATCAAAATCAGAAAATTAAAGTCACATTGCTGAAACAAAGATATTTTGTGAATTGAGCTTATAGTCTTTAGTAAACATATCCCATTGTTTGAGAATTTAGACTCTCCTAAAGATATGACTTGTTGTTATTATTATTATTATTGTTGCTGTTAATAATAATAACAATAATAATAATTAGAATATTATTATTATCATTATTATTATTATATTAGACCTATTGGCATTTGTATCTTTGCACTGTTACAAGTAATCCATAGCAGATTCCAGCAGCGCAATTTTTGCTCTCTGCAAGCAGTATTCTTGACATAAGAAACATGGACAGACACATCAAAGGCATAAGAGGGCCATCTTCCTCAGACAACAACAATCCAGAGATGCAGACCATGTCCTTAATGCAAAAAATGTGCAGAGATGTAAAGGGGCCATTTTAATTAACCTTGTCTCTGCTCTAGGGCTGTGCTAAATTGTAGGCTCTCATTGCACTGAGTGGAGTTGATTTGTCTTGTGGTATGTGACATTATTATGTATATTGTCTTTAATCCTTTTCATAAATATTCCCCCTTTTTTTAAAGATATCATATGTAATGTCTTTTGAGTGTAACATGCAATAATTCTATTAAGAGTATTATAGGATATTGTAATAAATAAGCTACAAGACTGAGAAAACATGTGGTACAACTTTGCAATCTTTCAACACAATATATATCCAGTAGCTGACGTAATATGAGGACAAAGCTAAACAATTCATTCAATGTGTATCCAATCAGGCAGGCACTTGCACTACATAGTTGATGGTAGAATCAAATCGTATAGTGTATGGTCAGCTTTAAGCTAGCCATACACGGCCCCGCATTGCACACATGTGAACCAGAGCCTTAGGAAATACATTCCTACTTCACAATTGTTATAAGAGTCACATCCTGAAACACTGTCTTTGGTTTTGAGGCAAACATGTCTACTCTTACCGTGACCAGACATCCCTATCTCTGGGTGATTAGTCTTCAGCACCTTGTTCCAGAAGACCTGGTCTTTGCCTAATTGCTCAATGGCAAATTGTAATCTTGTTCTAATGCTTTTTTGGACAGCAAAGGCTTCTTAAACACACCTCTCATGCAGGCTGAATTGGTGTAGTGTATTTCTGATCATAGATGCATGCACTTTGACCCTAACCTTGCAAGAGTTACCTGAACACCCTGCAATAAAATGTTGAGGTTCTTGACGAACTCTTTTAGCATCATATTATCAGCTCTTGGGTTATATTTGCTGGGCAGGCCAGTCCTGGACATATTTGCAGTTGTTTAACAGCTATACCACTTGTAGGTTATTTTCTTTACACTGCAATAATTAATTTCAGTTTACCCAATCTTTTTAAATTCCTTGCCAGACTCACTGGAATCCATAACTTTCTTTCTGAGGGCCTTGGAAACAATTGATCTTAGCATGATGACACAACACATTTCAATAGCAAAGAGAACACCATAAAATGTGACAGGTTGCACCTGCAAAGGGAGATTCTAACCATCGGCACCTAATATGGAGCACCTGATTCTATTTCATGGATTTGAAGTGGTGGTAAATATGGGGGTGTCCTTCCTTCTTCTGTATAAGAAATATTTTTTGTTACAGTAACACTAAACTCAGAAATTAATCCTTAAAAATGCATTCATGTACCTTAACTATTAACATAAATCTGTCTTATTTGTGTATCACTACTGGCTACCGTATTTGACGGCGTATAAGACGGCTGGGCGTATAAGACGACCCCCCACTTTTTGTGTAAAAATATAGGTTTTTGGCTATACTAATACAGTATACCGTAGTATACCCAGCGTATAAGACGACCCCCGATTTTCGGGCGATTATTTTGGGTCTCAAACCCCGTCTTATACGCCGGCAAATACGGTACTTTTTTTTCCCCATGGCAGCTGTGTGTATTGTAAAGTAGCCACCACTCCAAGCTCGCTCCTGTGATGGACTACAATCTAGTACAAGTACAAATTATTAAATTAAAAATAATATTGTAGTGTACCACAGGAGTGACTTTGGGGTGGTAGCTATTTACAAAACACACAGTCACCATGTGGAACAAAAGTAGCCATCCTCCAGAAGGAAGGACAGTGTCGGCACCAATTCAGAGATGATAGGAGGATCTACAGCCGATTGATACACAAATAAGATACACAGAACGTAAATGCATTTTTATGATTTAACTCCTGAGTTTAGTGTCACCTTAATTAAGATCATAAAAGTGAATACAAGATGTCAATGTTATGTGTCATCCAAGAATATCAACTTTTTTAATCAAGATCTAATGTTTAAATATGTTTTAAAATGTCAACAATTTAAATGGGATTTCCTTACTTTTTCATATGACTCAAGGCCTTGTATGCCATTAGACCAAGGACATAGAAAACAACAATATCCATCTTGCGGTTTTCCCTTTATATTTATATTTATATTGTGTTGGGGCACACTGGCTATTTGAATGCATAATATATAATATCCAGAGAAATTGTATTCTCTTTACTATTGTGCAGTTTTGAAAATATTAAATGATGAATCCCCTTTTTGAATTATGCTGCAGAAACATTTATCCGTCGGCCTACATTTTTTTCTTCTTCAGCTTCTACTTTAACTGTAGGCTGGAAATGTAGCAGGCTGGAAATGTGGACAGATAATTTGTGGTTGAAATTACACCTTGAAGAAACCTGCAATGAATTTGAAAGGATTGTTCTAGTAAACAATAATTCTGTATTTGTGGGGCAGGAAATAGCCCCTACCACACCTTTTTTGATTTACAGATTACTAAATATGCACCACATGTGCCCTCCCCTCGCTCTTCCAGACACAGTTGCCAGAGCTCTGTTCCACATTTAGGTGATGAAAACTTCAGAGTCCTACTAACATGATCTGCGGAAAGGTTCATTGTCGGAGGCTGCTACTTTCCTGAGTGTGGTGTATGTGAAGACATATAAAGCATCTCTGCTTAGAGCTGGGGGTTCAGTGACTGGAGTGACAAACCATCACAGAGGAGAGGAGGAAGTTATAAACAGGGAATATACATATACTGTATATGGGCAATCTCAAATCAGCATTTAATTGAATCATTCAAACATTCATAATAAAGGAATACAATGTAATTATTATGAGATTGATAACACAACTATCCCTACCTTCCCCCATGCCAAGGTGCTAGGTGTGATCCTTGACTCTGATCTCACCTTTCTGCCACACATCCAATCACTATCCAAATCCTGCTGTCTTCACCTTCATAACATTTCCAAAATACGCCCCTTCCTATCTCTTGTCTCGACTATTGCAACTCCCTCCTTATTGCCTTACCTCTACACAGGCTCCTCCCCCTTCAGTCTATCATGAACGCTGCTGCTAGACTCGTCCACCTAACCAATCGTTCAGTGTCTGCAACCCCCCTCTGCCAATCCCTCCACTGGCTTCCAATCGCCCAAAGGATAAAATTCAAAATATCAGCAACCACTTACAAAGCCATTCACAACTCTCCCCACATCTCTCTCCCATCCTATGGAACTCCCTGCACCAACCTGTCTGGCTATCTCCTACTCTGTCTGCCTTTAGGCGATCTCTAAAGACTCATCTCTTCAGGGAAGCCTATACCACCTCAACCTAACCACTCAACCATCACGTTCTCAAACATTTCATCCCCACACAGCTACCTCCTCATGTATCACTTGCCCCTCCCTTTTAGATTGTAAACCCTCTTGAGCAGGACCCTTCTTACCATCTTGTCTTGAATTGTATTGTAACTGTAATTTCTTCTTTATATTGTAAAACGCTGTGCAAACTGTTGGAGCTATAAAAATCACTCTGTCCAGCACTTTGCAATATAAAAGGGAGACAACAGAGTTACAATACAATTCAAGGTCAAGTTATACATAAAGTAATAACTGTGAGGGGATGAGTTATTCAAGAAAGTAAAATTTCAATCTAAGGGTAGAGGCGGGATAAGCTTCCCCAAAGTGATTAGTTTTCAGGGATCCCCTAAAGGTAGACAGACTAGGAGAAAGTCAGACAGATTGGGGTAGAGATTTCTAGAGGATGAAAGAAGCTCTGGAGAAGTCCTAGATGCGAGCATTAACCTTTGGAGAAAGTGATGAAGGATCTAGGAAACACAAACCCTTGGCATGAGTGGAGAGGATGAAGATGAGAGCATTGCATGCATACAAATGTAAGGGTTTAGATATACATAAATAGAGCTTGAAATTATTGAACAAGTTATTCTGTCTCTTTAGTTAGGTCTTTAAAACCAGATTATAAATTATATTCAGGAGGCTTATAAATTAAAGATGATTTATAGCTATAATTAATAGTTTTTTGGGGGTAGATGTCACTGGGTCCAATTAGCACCCAGCCTCTTACAGAATTCAATGTTGGCATTCTCTTTCCACCCTCAACAAAAAAATTGCATTCCCAATCCCCCATTATTAAGCAATCAATTTCCTATCAACAAAAAGTGGAGTGTGATCTAATAATTTACGTGTTAGCAGGACACTTGCCAGTGGCAATGAATTCATCTCTACTTTAGCAAGCAAGCAGTCAGTAAAGGTAGATGTTCTCACCATCTTCATAGTTTTTTAGATAGTCATCAGGTCCAGGTCCCCTGTTCTTTGCTGGGTTCTTGATGTTCTGGAATTGTAAGAAATCTGTTCTCGGGCCACCAAACCTCAGGAAAGCTGGAGCCAGACCTCGGGCTAGAGTCACAAGTCTTTTGGAACTGGAGAAATATAAAAGAAACTTTTATTAATTAACATAGATTTCTCTGAGCTGGTTAGCTAACCCTAGAAAGAAATAAACATGTAATAGAAAAAGCCTTCTATTGGTAATGGGCCTGTTTTCACACACATTTCTATTCTCTCATATGTATTCATCCTGATTCAATGCTGTGTTAAACCTATCATTGGCATATCACTGACTCCTTGACCCTTTACAGCCTGGTTTTTACATTTCATATTTAACAGAAAGTGTACTAACAAAAGAGGCCAATCCCCTTGCCAAGGTAAAATAAAGATGTTGCTTTTCCTTGCTCCTCTTCCTTAATCTCTCCTCTGCACTTAGCATTCAGGACAATGCCCTATCAAACCTTATCTCCTCCCGTGTTCTCTCTCTGAGTACCCCAGGGTTCAGCCTTGACCCTGTACTTTTCTTTAACTGTGCCACCACTCAACAAAGTATCCCCTCCTTTGGCCTCAAATACCAAAATATGAATTTCTTTTCATGTCCTATCCCCTTGTCACTTATCTGCATCAGTCATGGCAACCATTTCATTCTGCCTGTTAGCCATTTCTCCATGGATATCTGATAGGTACCTATAATGTAACCCAGAGAAAAATAATTATCTCCCCTTTGCCAAAATTCAAACCTCTCCCTGACATCTCTCTAACTATACTGTCATTCTACCTACCTGACAAGCTTGTTGCTTTTTTGTTTGTTTTGACTTTTCCCTCTTTTACATTTCTCACACCCAGAACATCTCTAACTGCTGCTATTTCTACATCTCCAAAAAAGATGGCATACAGTGCCATGTATTTGGGGGCCCACCTCTTAGCAGCACTGGTACACCCAGTAATAGTCTTTCAGTGATAGCCTCTTCCTCCAGAACCACAACTGGAACCTGTTTCTAGTTCCAACCACCTCTTTATTGTATAGCAACTAAGCTACATATTGCAATCTGACATGTGTTTGTATTGATGAAGCTTGTGATGCTATTCAAACATTCCCAGAACTTTCACTCCTATGTTTACTGTGGGAGAAACAATGGATAACATGATCAAATGCTGTGTGCTTACAGATCGAAAGCTACATTCACATCTGGGCAAGGGGAGTTTTGCTGCAGGTGCTTGAGTGCTCAGTTATGAACAGACATCATAGAAGACAGTGAGATTTTTTCAAGGTGAGCAGTTTGTAGCTTAAGGCCAGGTTCACACTTGGGCGATTAGTAACCGCACGGCAATCGTACACGAAACCAAGCGGGTGGTTGCGTGGTCATGGAATCGCCCACCACCACTGATTGCACTGGCGGTGCCAATGTTTTCTAATGGCACCCCAGTCGCGCCAGGAAGATCGCAAGGCTTCCCAATACGATTCTGCCTGTGCAATTGCACACGATCGTGGTTGAAAAAAACACACAGGGTGCGTGTCGCAAAAAAGGTACATGTACCTTTTTTCAGCGACTGTCGCGTGGATGTAGCCCCATTGAAATCAATGGGGGCTCACGGCAACTGCTGTGTGCAACCACACACGATCGCGCGGTCCCTTTACGCGCATCCTGGGATCTCACAAGTCTGCATCGGCCCGCAAGCTTTGAGCTAAAAAAAAACACTCAACAATAAAAATGGAATTGTCTTCTATTTTGCCTGTTCGTACCTGAGTGCCCAAGCGCCTGTAGCCCTTTTTTTATATGAATACAAGCAATAGTAAGAGGGTTATATAGGATTTAGGCTTCTACGTAGATGTTATTAATTCTAGAAATTGATTTTAATGTCTTTCTGAAAAATATTCCATTTTACAATTTTAATACATAGGCAGTCATTGTTTTATTAATTTTTTTGTTATGTATATCCAGGTTGTGCTTCTTATATAATCAAGAAGATCCACAAGTTAGTGTGTGTTACTGTGCTTTCTGTCACCTCTATCCTCTATTAGTCAGCTTAGACTGATTGGAACCAATATGATGTCAGCACTGTAGCTGTTTTATCACAGCAGTCATTGTGCAAAGATGCAGTGGCTGGCAGACAATAGTTACAGTTTACAGTCATGAAAGAAGAACTACAGGAGAATCACAAACTTGCCCTTGCAGTGGGCTACCCCCGCTCTGAAAGGGTTAAATGCTCATTTTGTCTAGGGGTGAAAACAGGGCCGGTGCTAGACTATTTTGCGCTCTAGGCAAATCCAGCTACCTGCAGGCCCCAGCCCCTCTCCTGTGGCATAACCCCCAATCCCCCCGGCGCTGCCCCATTCTCCTGCCGGCTCACTTCTGCAGGCGACAGGTTGATTTAAGCAGCCGGGAGCAATAGCCAGACTGCTATTGGCTATTTTAATTTGAAATAGCCAATAGCAGACTGGCTATTAAAACCCCACCCACTGAGCAGAGGCGCAGACCAGAGAGAGAAAGTTGTCTCTCAGTTCTGATCATCTGCTAAGTGGGAGGATGTAACAGCCAGCCTGCTATTGGCTTTTACAATTTGAAATAGATGGGGGGGACACCGTGAGGGGGTGAGTGGTCGAGGCTGCGCCCTAGGTAGCAGTGCGCCCTAGGCGGCTACCTAGTTTGCCTAGTGGCAGCACCGGCCCTGGGTGAAAATAAAGCAGATATACCCACAGTTGTCAGCACTCACCTCTTTCTCTGTGGAGTCTCCCTCAGCATCCTCACGTCTGAGAGGTGGCATCAGTGGTCCTTAGACAGCCGAAGCCAAGGGGAGCAGAAGCTGTAGGGACCGGTCTAGCAGTCCAGAGGCTTTATTTGAGCCCCTTAGACAAAACGAGCCCCACTGCGAAACGAGCCCCACTGCAAGGGTGAGTTTGTGTTTTTTTTCATATGGAGAACCATCTACCAATATACAGTATTCACGACTGTAATAACATTTCGTTCATGCTCACTTTACAAAGGTTATTAAACAAACTCTGCTTTAAAATTGTTACATTATTGGTAGAGAACAGTGCTTTTTATAGGGGAAAAAAACAAAGTACATTGCCTCTTTGTATAAGTGGATGGTCCCACTAAGGGTATATTTTAACATACAGGTTATATAAATACAATTGCAAACAATTTTTGGATTTATGCCTTTACATTGACTAGTGATTTAATAAAATCTGACCCAAAAGTCAGCATATCATCATTAAAACAGCTATAAACAATACAGTAAGGGTTATCCTATTCATTTTATTGCCTATGACAATGACGATCACTGCATCCTGTCTTGCCCCAATAATGAACTTCTCTGAGTTCACTCTGAGTTCATCAGTAAAATTAATTTGCTAAATGAAAATGTAGCTGTATACAGCCCAATTCACTAAAGGGTGAAATTAGTTTGCTTGAGTTTACGTACTTTCTGACATTTCAGCAAGTATAAAATTGTGCACACAGCCCAGTTGACTTGGAAAAATGTCACAGGAACCCGTATGACTTTCCTTAATAAAGCGCAAATGCATGTGCAAAGTTGAGCAAATGTTTCAACACGTGCAGACTTTTGTACTTTGCAGTTTAGTGAATAAGGCCAATAGTGGATATACGCCGCACTTTTCTCAATGTTTGGTACCCTGAACCTGTACATGTATACTGTCTATAAACATCCTACCAACTTAAAGCCATCAAACCTACATCTGTTAAGATGTACAAAGCAGAATGTATGATGTTTTTCTCTATTAAACACCTTTTTAAATCATGCCTTACTACACATACCCATTTGATTAAAATATATTGATTAACTTAATGTATTATTTTGCTATTCTTGATCTAGGTAGTAATATTTGCTACACAACATCATATTTGAACATACCCTCTAAGGCAGGGGTGAACAAATTGCTATGGAAATCAGGAGCCAATATGTCCAACCGAGAGCCAGCAGGATTTTTTAGGAGCCAAATCCATTGACAAATAGTAGAGAAAACCTGAAAAGTCAGATATCAGGTGTCATTTTTAAGGAGCATTGGTTACGTGGTTCCTGGGATTTGCCTAGCCCTGATGTAAGTAAACCATATGTTGAAAGAACAAATTATGAATTGATACATGTGTGGGTAACAAACTGAGCTTTTGTAAGAATTTATGACCCTCTAATTTTCCCAAAGTTTGAGACTTTCCCAAATCTAGTTTGCGCAGATTTCCCATATGTCTGAAGAAATGTTTGAGAATGTGAAGCAGTGATGAAGAACAGTAAAAGCAGGGAGAGGCAAGGCAATATTCCAGTGGAAAGTGGTAAACTGTCTGTGGTTGCCCAACAGTAAAACTGTCAATATGCGAGTTCCAGAAACAAGCAAGAAAATTTCCGTAGGTGTCAGCGTACTTTGGAATAGTCACTCTTGTATAATACTAGCAAAGTCCATAAATATGTTATTATGTTGGTATGTTTGTTGTGTATTGGATATATGATCGATGAAAACCCCATAAATTGGCACATAGGTCACTATAAGTGATCACATAAGTTACTATAAGTGGTCTACTCTCAACATCAAAAATAATCATGATCACAAGTTTACTTGTTAATGCTTTCTTGTTTGACAGGAAAAACATTATTCATAATAGGAATAGTCATCCCATTAAACATGCCAATATAAAGTATGGGTCAATATAAGATATATATGACAAGAGGGGTTGATGTTCTCACTCACATATAACACTTTGAACACAAAGCATTTTGAAGGTAACATTTGCACATAATACTTATATTTAGTATGTGATAAGGGAGCTTTTTTAAGAGACACATCAGTGCTTTAAAAACACAAGGGACTATGCTATTAATTAGGGATGTTCAGATACCAGTTCAGATACCAGTTCCGATACTTGGCATTTTCACAAGAACTACCAGGGTTGCAGCTGGGACCTGGCTCTGGTGCTCCACCACTGTTCTGAAATCATTAGTCTGTATTGTTTTAGAAAAACTGCCACATGACTATAAACAAAAATGTACCAGTGCTTGTATCTGTGAGGACTTGGACAAGTATCAGTACTGGTACTTGAAAAAATGGTATCTGTGCATCCCTTGATATATATTTATATAA